AAATTAAAACAATACCAAGACTCCATCCTATACCAAAAAGAATAACAATCATCAAGAAATCAAAAAATAACAAATGGTAGGAGGCTCTGATGAAGAAGGTACCTTCCTACATTATTGGTAGGAATATAAACTAGTACAACCATTATGGAAATCAGTGTACAGATTTTTCAAAAACTAAAATTACAAATTCTGTATGACCCAGCTCTCCCTCTTCTAAGTATCTTCCTCAAAGAGCTTAAGACACCGTACTATGGTGATAACATGTATACCAATATGTATAGCAGCAGAATTCATAAAAGCTAAATCCTGGAAGTAGCCTGTATACCCATCAACAGGCAATTAGATGAAGAAAATGGAACACTACTTGACTATAAAGAAAGACAAATTTGAGACATTTGTAGGACAATATATGCACCTGGAAAATACACTGTTGCCTGAAATGAATCAGATACAAGCTTAAGATACTGTATGGTATTCCTTATTTGAAGCAGGCACAGAACCACTGAGCTAAATCTCCAGCCCCAGTATCCCTTATTTGAGTACAGCAAAATGCAAAAAATAATAAAAAGTGGATAGAAGGAGACAAAGACACCAGGTGTGGTGGCACATGCCTGTCATCCCAGCACTCGGAGACCGAGGCCTGGAGGATCCCCAAGAGTTCAACAGTGCTGGCCTGGACTACATAGTGTGACCCTATCTCAAAAGAAGGGAGAGAAAGGAGCTCTTGCAAATGGGAAGGGGTCCAAGAGACCAAAGGTGAGGCATGAGGGGAGTACAGTGGGCAATACAGTAATATCTTGGTTTGCAATCTCAATTCTCTTCATGACTCTGGTTACAAACTGAACTAGAGGAGAGCCAAATCAAATTTCCCCATAAGGTCAACATTGTATCTAAACCATTGAATTTGATTTGATTCTGGTCTGACTTGGTTTGTGACCAGAATTGGGGAAAGAATCAAGTTTGTGAAGTGTGAGTAGAATAAAGATACACTATGTACAGAAATTTAATAATTTCAATGAGTTGAAATATTATATGCTATAAATGTGCTAGGATTAATAAAAAGTCTGGGGGAAGGGATGGGAATGGAAGGGGATTACAAAAAGAAACAAGTTTTATTAGGTACAGTTTAGCAAAGATGATTATAAACTGCAGATACTACAAATATGTACTAATAAAGTTTAACTCCATCAAAAATTTTTTATTTTTAGATTAATTGCTATGGCTGTATGATCTTTCCTTCAATTTTTTTTTTATTGAGTTTATTGGTACATTTAGGGATATAGTACAGTTACATTCATTGTTGGGATCATGTACCTTTACATGGCAAGTCTTGATTCTCATTTTTTCCCCTTACCTCTGCCCTCCCTTCACCCCCTTTTCCTTCAATATTGAACCTATCTTCTCTGGAACTATTGCATGCTGTGTACATTCTTTTTATATATTTTATAATTAAATTTGTTAATCTTAAGAAATTTTTGCATTTATATTCATAAGGAATATACTGAATATGTCTGCCTTTTTGAATTAGGTACAGTTTAGCAAAGATGATTATAAACTGCAGATACTACAAATATGTACTAATAAAGTTTAACTCCATCAAAAATTTTTTATTTTTAGATTAATTGCTATGGCTGTATGATCTTTCCTTCAATTTTTTTTTTATTGAGTTTATTGGTACATTTAGGGATATAGTACAGTTACATTCATTGTTGGGATCATGTACCTTTACATGGCAAGTCTTGATTCTCATTTTTTCCCCTTACCTCTGCCCTCCCTTCTCACCCTTTTCCTTCAATATTGAACCTATCTTCTCTGGAACTATTGCATGCTGTGTACATTCTTTTTATATATTTTATAATTAAATTTGTTAATCTTAAGAAATTTTTGCATTTATATTCATAAGGAATATACTGAATATGTCTGCCTTTTTGGCGTACTTATTGTCATTCTTTTTTTATTTTCAGGTATTGTATTTTTCATTTCTAAAATTTCCATTTGGTTCTATTTCTTTGCTTAGACTTTTTATTGTAATGACTTTTTAGTTCTGTTATATAGTATACTTTTCTTCTTTGTATTGGCATCTCTTGATTATCTCTTTCATTCAGCTTCAGATCTTCCTGGTTCTTGGTATGAGGAGCAATTTTTGTTTGAAACTTGGGCATTTGATTATTGTCATGAGACTTGTTTTTCTGTAAACCTATTGTAGCTGGCTTTCTTTGCCATATCAAAGAGGGAGGGTGATGCTGCCTCCTTATTGAAAGATTTGAGTTGAAGTCCAGGCCACCGGCCCTGTGGGTTCCCCAGGTCGTTTGGCCCCCACCTGGCCTCTTTACAGCTCCACCTGGGGTGGATGTTTGGATACCTTGGCCCCTTATGCAGTTTGTCCTTTGTCCCTGCCCACTCCAGGTGGAGGTGGGGCTGCAGGTTTTCCAGGTAATTAAGCTGGAGCAGAGTTGTTATTGACTGTACATTTTTCTGTCCCACCAGGCCCTGTCCTAATTCTTTAGGCAGGGAGAAGGACTTGTGTTGAGACTTTTGTTTATTTTTTAAGCAAAACATTTATTGGTACATTATATATATGGTAACATTCATTACAGGGAATGCCCCGGCCAGCAGGGCTTGTAATTAACAGAGCTCGAGAAGGGGAGATACCTGGAAATGGGACAAGAGAGGCGCAGAGAGAAGGAGACCAAGCAGAGGCTTGTCAAGGTCTCATTTATTTGCAGGCACAAGCAGTATATAAAGGCAAAAACCACAAAATTGTAAGAGGAAGTAGCTAATCATAAAATGATAAAGGAGAAACATATTGTACAGTAACAGTCATGATGAGATACAGTTGTTATGTAACAGATTAGGTCATTAAATGAGCAAGGCCGTTAGTGCAGTCATCGGCACGTCTGTGCCAGTGAGGTGACTCAGATGTAAACATGGAGGTGGTTATGTTAGGCTCAAAAACAACTCTGAGAGTATGAATATTTGGTCTCCTACAAGGGAATTTGTACCTGTACATGATGTATCTTGCTTCTTTTTTTCCCATCCCCCTCACCAATCAAAAACAACTGAGAGTATGAATATTTGGTCTCCTACAAGGGAATTTGTACCTGTACATGATGTATCTTGCTTCTTTTTTTCCCATCCCCCTCACCAGATTTGTGTTTAAATATGTACTCGTTGACATTTCATTCCTAGAGTCTTGCATTTGTGAGGCAGCGTTTCACACAGAGGGTTCACTCCATGATGCTCACTAGTCTGCTGCCTCCTCCCCTTTTAGTCTGACTTATTTTATATGTGACATCCAGGGTTCTTCCTTGAACTTAGCAGGAGAAACCGGATACTCTCTGCTCCACAGTCCCAGAAGCATGAACCCTAAATCCTGTTTCTCTTGGTGCCTTTGTTTATTTGGTTGGTTCTTTGGCTGCTCTAAAGTATCCTCAAGTCAGCTTCTGTCAGGTGAGATGCAGAATGAGGTTTTTGTGAGTTGTAGTTTATTCTCCATTCTTCTTGCAGAGTTCTTTGATGACTCTCCTCCCACGTGGCTTCCTGCCCTTATCTCTCTTTTTTCAGAGACCAGCCCAAAACTTCCTGGTCCTCAGAGATGCACTGTGATCATCACCCTGTCTCAGGTGTCCCATGTGGAGCACATTGCTCTATTAGATCCAACCAGGTCTAGCAGGGAGCAGCTGCCTTTGTGCTCAGCCCCATTCCCATAGCACCCTCAGGGTGGTGTCTGGTCAGATTGTCCTGTTCCTAAAGAAAAAATTCATTGGTGATGATTCCCCTGGCTCAAGATACATTCATTGATCCTCATCTGACCTGTTGGGTCCAAAGTTTGTCTCTGACTTTCCAGCATGTCCAGACCAGTGTGGGGCCAGCAGCTCTCCTCCTTGCAACTCAGCCCTGCAGATCCCATTCGCCCTTCTACTGGAAGCTGGATTAGCTCCAGTCTCCTCCACACCTTGTGCAGACCTCTCAGTGCTTATCGAGTTACATTGTAACAATGCTTTCTGATTTGCTCCCCTGCCCTGAGAGTCTTGACTGGCCACACAGGACTAGCATCTGGTTTTAGTTGGGGTGGATGAGTTTGCTTTTGTGCCTGTAGAACTGAGGTGGCTGCAGCACATCCGCATAAAAGGGACCTTCAGAATTGCTAAGTGCTCCTGCAAAGGTGATTGTTGATGTCACGGAACTGGGACAGAATGTCAAATGGCAAGGACACCAGCTTCAGGGAGTGTGCAAAAGTGGGAGAAGACCCTGAAAGTTGTTGGAAACTGGTGGTTTTAGAGGGGCCTGTGGAATGTAGAGAATCAAAGTAGGAGCAGGAAAATATAGCATTTATGAGAGAACCTGGAGCTGCTGCTCTTAGTGGCTTTGGTGCCTTGAGCTCTGATAATGCTATTTTATACAGGCCTCAGATCCATGTGGCTTTTAGGTGGGACAGGCTAAAGACATCATTTTGAAAAGGTAGGATTTAGCATACTCAGCATTCTTTAAATTATTGGCAATAGTGTCCATTCAGAGGTGATGGGCATCCTGTACCAGGAGGAGGTTACCACACTGCCTTGTCTCAGTGTCCACATCTTAGGCTCCTGGCGTGAGTGGGGAGGGGAAAGAGCTGGTGACCCTGGCCACCTGTCATACTGTTAGGCTGTGTGAGCCATCAGGTCCCGAGATCTTTGATTTCTCCATGTGGCATATAATGGAAGCCAGCTGCTCCTGGGTGTGATGAAGCCAGGTTTGAAGGCCAATAAACTAGTAGGTTTTCTTTGCTGTAGAAATCAGATAACTGAACAGGGTTACTGTGTGTGTCCCCATGGACCCCTAGCCCAGATCTGATTCTAGGATGAGAACTTTGCTTATTGTGTAGTTTTCTATAAAACATTGACTTCTTGCTATTTCTGTTATCTTAGGCTTTTATTGAAATGTTTTGCATTATGTTTTCTTTGAATAAAGATCAAAGAAGACACTTTATCATGTGTCTTTTTCTCCTCTATTCATGTCAGGTTGGATTTGGTCCAGGGAATCCCAAAAAGAAATAGAAAAAGAGAGACAAGTGTATCATCAGAGGACAGCTGCTTTCCAGCGGGATCTTGAAGCAAAGTACCATGCTGTGATCTCAGAAAATCGACGTGCTGTTGCTCAGCTGTCTTTGGAACTTGAAAAGGAGCAAAATAGAACCACTAGTTATCGAGAAGCCCTCATCTCTCAAGGACGCAAGTTGGTGGAAGAAAAGAAGCTTCTGGAACAGGAACGGGCTCAGGTAATGCAAGAGAAAAGCCAGCTGCAGCCCTTGAGAAGTGTATACCTGAGCTGCCTGGAGGAGCAGGAGAACTGGGAGCGGAGAGCCCGGCTGATGCTCAAGGAGGTTGGAGAGGCTCTTGCTGAAAGGCAGAGCATCTACTGCAGTCTGGTCCTCCCTCGCCATACCAGGCTAGAGCTTGAGAAGAACTTGCTGGTGCGTGCATCTGTTGACCCTGTGGCTGCCGACTTAGAGATGACAGCTGGCTTGACTGACATATTTAAGCATGATACCTATTGTAGTGGTATCTGGAACACCAACAAACGCCAAAATGGGAGACTCATGTGGCTATATCTCAAGTATTGGGAACTAGTTGTTGAGTTGAAAAAGTTTAAGAGGGTAGAGAAGGTTATACTACAGAAGTAAGAGAAAATGAAATGAAACTCAAGGCCAGACGACAGTAGTTTGTCATGGCATTCTGTGTTCTGCACTTTCCAATGTTTTATATTTCCTGCCACCTCTGTTGTAGCCACATGGCAGCCATTCCCAGCAGTGACACTGCTCCTGCCAGCATGGCCTCAGTAGATGAAGGCTTTCCTCTAGATGCTCTGCAGCTGCAAAGGACTCACTTCTCTGAAGCATTTTTCCAAGCTGCTAATATTTAGCAGAATAATATAACCTTATGTTTTAGTTCTATGGTAAAAATTGTTTTTAAAAGCTCAAATACAATATTGCTTCTCAGTTTTCATTTCTCCCTAAATATATTGTCCTATTGAGTTATTTTTCTCCTCCAGATTCTCTTTAGAAGTTGCCAAGTAACGTGTCAGATTGCCTTGCAGGTGACAGTAGGAAGTAGTAATATCCTCAAGGTTATGCATTGAGTGGAACATCTCTCTCACTCACAAAGGGAAGAAACACCAAGTGTTTCTTGTATTCAGTTGATATTTAGTATGTGTTTGGAATTCAGCTTGTGCCTGTATTCAGCAAGCAGATATTTGTTAGTAATGATATATACAATAAAAAATATATGCCATTTAAAACTAATAATGCCACTTTTAATTTGTGTGATTCTTTACTCTGTGCATACTGTTTTCATGTATATTATCTCAGTTTTTACCACAACCAAGCTGAAAGGTAGATAGGCACTTACAACACCATTTCATATATAGCTAACATGAACGGAGGCTTTTTGCATATCACTCATGCGATCTTTTTCTATGAGCAAGTACTATCATTATCTGGGAGGGGGGTTCCCCAGAACCACCCCAGTTTCCATGGTCTGCATTTGTGTCCCAGGACTCAGCATATGGGTGTCCTCACAGCCATGACTGTGACTATGAGAGAGGAAGTCAGCAAAAGGAGGTGTGTGGCATGAGCCCTGAGAGGACCAGACTTGAGCTTCCGAGGATCCCTCCCTGCAGAGCTACCTGAAACCTGCTGCATTCCTCCAGGGGCAAGCTGTGACCATGTGTGAAAGATCCCCAGAGACTGCACCAGGGTTGTGATGGGGGCTGTTCTCATCCCTCTGCCTGGGAGAGACAGGTCCAGACCAACGGGTGGGTAGGGCTGGCAGGCCTGTGCTGGGGATGGGTTAGGCCCAGAGCCAGTCTTCCTGGGTAATGTGGCCTGGGCACCCTTCCAGAATCCATGTTCCAGCCTTGTAAGGCCTTTCAGAGGATAGGGTCTTGGTGCTGCCCTGTAAGCTCTTTCATATATCCTCTCCTCTCATAGAGGATCTGGATCTTGGGTACTGGGATGGAAACCTGTTCTGGTTACACACGTAGTGGTGTTAGAGCTTTCCAGGCATGTTGACTCTGGCACTGCTGGGAACTTGCAGGTGTATATTTGACAGTTGGCCGAGCAGGGTTGGGAGCCCACAGAACACAGCTCCTCAGTTGACTCACTGAGTGGAGATGCTTTTATCCCTCTTGTTTAAACTCTTACAAATGATTATATATGTTGTATTGTATGTGTGTACATTGCATACGGGAAGGTACAGTGTTGGTTTCATGACAAAATAATTGCAGGACAGCACACAACAGCAGTGTTGTGATGTGAGGAGAGAGCTTCTCCAGAGGACCTACGTGTTTTTTAAAAGAGAAGTCATGTCCAACTGAAATGTGAAACTGTTGGATTATATTTAATGCCTGATTGCTTCATAGTTACTGAGATCATGTCTAAGTAAAGAGAAAAGGCTTGCACAACAGAAGCAAGTCTTTAGAGTACACACACCTGAGCTCTGAGCATGATGCTTTCTTCTGGGCCCACTCCCGGGCCAGCCCCACTCAGCTGTTGTGAGAATGGCCTGGAGTGTACCTGGTGGTGGGGCTATGGTGTGTTGCATCTCCGATCAGCATACTCATGCATCCAGTGCATGTTCTGGTTTTCCAACAGTGTGCCCTTGGGTCTGAGGCCCTGATTTCTGCTGCAGAGATCTGCTTTTCACAAATACTGTAGGATGTTGCAGGGCCTTGTGGATAACCAGATGTGTGGCCATGGGTGCCACCTTGCATCTGGCAGAGTCCTAAAGTGGGGCAGGTGACCTAAGTTCATCAGGCAGGGCCAGAGGAGCAGGTTTGTCTCACAAATCCCTGGACTGCATCAAAATGATAGGCAAAAGTGCCCACAGCCCCTTGGCTTGGGAAGAGTGGGCTCTTGCCCCAGAAGGGCTCTGGGCCAGTGTGGAGGGGGTACTGTCCAGAGCATCGGCTACTAGTGCCTTCACCTGTCCTAATAGTCTTCCATATGCCTACCCCTGTCCAGACCATAGATTATGTCTAGCTCGGCCTTGTTTGTTGAGTACCTCTAGTACTGCCCAACCTGGAGATATAAACTGGCCATTTAGACACTGAGCCTGCTTAAAACAGTGGGAGCTATTCTGCTTTTGAGAGTCAGAATTAGATTGCTTAAACATTTTGCATGGTGTCTCTTCTCTTTCCAGGAACTTGCTACAATGTTAAACTCTGGGACTGAAACAGGTTTCTTAAAAAACAGTGGAGTGAGCAGAAGACAGATAAGGTGGTTGTGGGGAAAGCAGAGATAGAGGTTCATTTCCTGCCTGGAGACAGTTTTGCCCACTCCATGCTGGTCACTGCTGGGACTTGGGATAGGCAGAGCATGAGGCTTTCTTCTGGGCCCACTCCCAGGCTGCCCCATTCAGCTGCTGTGAGAATGGCCTGGAGTGTACCTGGTGGTGGGGCTAGGGAGTGGGACTACATGGGGAGTCACATTTCAGACCCTCAGGTGGTTCTGGCTCCAAGCTCTTACCTGTCTTGAGAAACAGACATATTCAAACTCTTAGACTCTTAAAAAAATTCTGAATTGCAGTAAAAGAAATGCCATATCTGAGTAAACCGCCCTTATGTTTTATTAGCATTTAACCATCCTAATACCAGTTCTGGAAACCAAGTCCAAGTGCGTCTTTCTCTGCTGGTAATTAGCACCTCCTCGAAGGTTGCCAAGTGCTAGACAGAAGTCTTCGTAGGATCTGGGAGCCCAGGTATGGTGCTCAGAGGGCTTCTGGTAGAGATGGGACAAGGAACAGCCCACATCCACTTGGATACCAGTGAGGGGAAGAAGCCACCCTAGCCCAGGCCTTGTCTTGGGAGCTTTAATGCAGCAGGCAAGATGTGACCTGCTGTGTGTGGTACCTCCTGCTGGGCCCAGGGGTCTGTCTGGCTCACTTTTCATGTTTAGTCTTAGTTAGCTTTCATGGGCTGCTTCTTATTTTATACAAATTCTGCAGTAAGTTCTCTCATTTCTTCATCCTCACTGTTGTGTAGCAGTAGATCCTGTCCCTACTGTCAGCTGGCCTAGTGCCTGGCCAAGCACTTCACTTTCTGCTACTGTGGTGGCCTCTCCTTGAATCTTTGCTCCAGGATCCTGCTGCAGTGACACCCAGGAACACCTCATGTCACATCTAAAAGGCAGGACTTCCTCTCCTATAGTACCTAACTGGTACACCTATAATTTTCACTAAGAAGTGCTTTTGTGAGTGATGTTTCTGGTGACAAATGCTTGACTCAGCCCTCCTATCTGGGACAGATCTGAGGTGCTACACAGGCTGAAGTGCAAGACCTATTCTTGGCATGATTTGAGGGCTTATTCACTTTGTTTTAGTGCTCTGGAAAAATTTTCTAAAGCATTTTTAAAAGCTTGAAGCAAGAAAGCGCCAAGTTCATTGCTGGTTTCCTGAATGTCTGGGTCAAAGCTTCCGAAGAGTGGTGTGGAAGCCTGGATATCCCCCCGGCCTGCCCTCAGCAGCACCAAGCGCAGCTCTTCAGTAATCACATTGTACTTCTGCTGGTCAAATTTGGATATGGCCAGCTCATCCTGGGGGTAGGCCGTGCCCTCGGGGTAACAGTCCTTTGGCACCGGGAACTCAATGCGCTGCAGCTTAGGGAGCTCACAGAGTGCAGCAAAGAGGCGTCTGAGGGCACGGGCAGACAGGGGATTCCCCAGGAACTTGAACTCCTGGAGCTGACTGCAGGGGCTCAGGCCTAGGGTCATCATGCCCACGTGGCTGTCTGTGATGCAGCAGTCCTCCAGCGTCAGTACCCTCAGGGTCTGGGCTGCCTGGCGTAGCAGCCTGAAGAAAGATGAGGGGTAAAAGTGGACCAGGTTGTGTCCACTGAGGTCCAGCACCTCCAGGTGGGTGGCATGGGCACAGTCTGCCAAGAAGGCCATGTCTGCATGGTTCAGGGCACAATTGGCCAGGTCGAGCACTCGCAGTGGGGTCCTGAGGGGGCTGGGGGGCAGGCAGAAAATAGTACAGGTGAGAGGAAGGTCCTAGGTAAACTGGAAGTCATGGTGGATGAGAACAACCCATTGGTTTTATCCCTTATGGGGGTCACAAACCATAGCCCATAGTGCACATCCAACCACTATGGGATTTAATATAGTCTGAGCTGAGAATAACTTTGATACCTTTAAATAGTTGAAAAAAATATCAAAAGAGCAATTTGCAACACATGAAAGTTACATAAAATGCAAATGTCTGTTAATGTTTTTGGTTTTTTTTTTATGGTACAGGGGATTGAACTCAGGTCCTTGTGCTTGTAAGGCAGGTAGCAGAACCACTGAGCTAAATCCCCAGCCCTGTTAATGGTTTTATTGGAACACAGCCTTGCCTTGGCTCAGAATTATCTGGGCTGCTATGATGCCTGCTACATGGTCAAGGGTTCACTTTGTCCATAATACCCACGATGGCAGATTTACCAACAAACCCTTCAGGTTCCCTGTGGAAGTGCAGCATGTGGTCATGTCAGGAATGTCTGCTCAAAAGGCTTGCTGCAGGGGCAGTGAAAAGTGAGGAAGAAAATGCTATCTCACTCTAACAATGATTAAACTCAGTTTTAGAGCTGGGAAGGGGACCCTGGAGACCTGACATGGGCTCCAGATCCCTTAATCACTAATTTTGACTTAGTTGGTTCAGCAGCCCAAATCAGCAAATGGTCAGCTGGGGAAGGACTGTGGAAGGACTGGTAAGGAAGCACATTCTTGGGCCATCAACCTTGAGGACCCTGGGCCTGTCCCTGCACAGTGAGGCCAGATGTCCCCAGGGTCCCCCTTTGCTGAGGCTGTCACCCACTGCCTACCCATACCCGGATCCCCACCCAGCCTTCCTGGCCTGCCTATATTAGGACAGAACTTCTACACGGAGGTCACTGGAATATGTCCCTCCCATGGCAGAGCTGCAGAAATGGAGACCCATGGCCTCCACCATGTGAGGATCCCATAGGCCAAGGAGACCAGGGCAACAAGGGATTGGCACATCCAGCTTCCAGACCTTCAGAGAAGGCTTCAGCTGCTGCTGAGAGCTGACTACATGCTGGAGCCAAACACTTCCCTCTGAGCTATGCTGCCACTCCTGTCTGGACAGGGTTTGCTGTTTTAGAATCTGGTGCTGGATAACTTGTTATGTGATAGGAACCACAGGATGCACCATAGTCCTCCAAGTGCCCTCAGTGCTCCATCCTTCTTGGCAGTTATAACTGCTGCTGTACCTAAAGCAGCCCCAGGGAACTGGTGGCCTTGTGAAGAAGCCACTCCTGTACTCTGTCCCTGGTTCCTCCCCAGCGGTCCTGCCTGCCCCATATAGTGACCAACTTACCCAAGCAGCGTTCGGATCTTCCCAGTCAGTGAGGAGAAAGCCACACTGAGCTCAGTGAGCTGGGTCATGCGGCTCAGCTCCCAGGCGATGGAGGCAAGGAGGGGGTCCTGGCCCTCAGGGGCTGGGGTGCAGTCAGGGGGAGCATCAAAGGCCTTGGTGGGCAGAGTGAGAGAGGCTAACTGGGGAAAGCCCACCTGCTCCAGCAGCTGTAGCACATGGCCAGCGTGCAGCCGCACATTGTGCACCACCTCTAGCTTGTGCAGTATAGCCGGTCCCACCAGGCCCAGCACAAGCAGGAGCTGCCCAGGGCTCAGGCTATCTGCACGGAATGAGGGGCAGCGCACCTGAAAAGGGGCTGGGCCTGCTGGCTGCAGAGCTTGCACCACTGCCTCAAAGTTTCCGTCGGTTACAAAGAGGTCGGCCAGGACCTCAATGGAGTGTCCAGCCACGCAGGGCTGTGCCTGCAGCTCACAACAGGTCTTGGCCAGCAGCTGGGTGCGGCCCCACCTCCCCAACACCCTCCCACAGGGACATCGCTGCTCTTGCACATCCCGGATGCCTGTGAGGTCTGCCAGTCGAAGCCGGTGGCTCCCACCCTGCAGCACATGGTCAGCCAGGCCCCGAATGCAGGCCTCCAGGCAGGTCCTGCAGGCCCGGTCACGCAAGTCCTCTGGGTGGTCATTGCTGGGCCCCAGCAGCATGGCCAGCCGGAACTCCTCCATAGGCCAGCACCCTAGCACAGCGCGGGTCACTTCTGCCTGCTCCAGCAGGTAGCTGACCTTGAACAGGAGTGGGTAGAGGTTGTAGGCCATACTGTCCAGGCTTTCCTGGGCCAGCAGCGGGTGGGATACAAGGGCTTCTGCAGCAATGAAGCGGAGCGATCTCATTGTGCCCTGAGCTGAGGCAGTGTGCTCTCCCCTCTGGTTGTCTCTGAGACTTGTGTCCTTCATGCCTATTTTTAGCTGCTGCTGTTGCTGGGAGCAGCTTAGCTTGGGGAGAAAGTGGTGAGCTGCCCTTGCAATCATCTGACTGCTATTTTGGTCCCAAGGAGGCTGCTTGGCCCTGACCTCAGAGGTGTCTGTCTGCTTGTGGTAGCCATTTGTCAAAAGCAGAGCTGCTGCTCCAGTTCTCCAGTGCTCCCTGCAGGGCTGGGCAGGGGGCCTGAGCTCAGATGTTTGTGCAGGTGACTGGAGGCGGAGCCACCATTCATATTGATCATCTGCCCTGACTCATCCCAGTCCCAGGAGAAAGCAGCCCTGGCCAGAGCTGTACTGGGGCTTACAGGAATCACTTTCCACAGTAGCCTTTGGGGCCTGGACTTCTCCCTTTTCCTTACACTGGGGAATCAGGAGCCTGGGGCCAGGACTGAAGGAGGCACCTCTGACAACTGTTTCCTGGTCTTAAGAAAAGGTCACACCGGCCCCATGAGGCCACACTCTTCCTTTGCCTCTGTCTTTCCTAAGGCTGGGCAGATTTCGTCTTCCTGCTCTGTAGGAGGGAAAGGCCAGTTTCTTCATAGTCTGGAAAGGCTGGCAGAGGAGAGTGACTATAGGTAGACAGTGTACCTGAAGGCTGTGAGCTCTCCATCCTGGCACTGTGGGTTTTGAATGACTGAACCTGTCACGTCAGTGTCACCATCTTTTGGTTCAGGTAACACACTTGGCTCAAAGGCCCAAAGGTGCAAGACGTATGGGAGGATAGAGCAGAGGAAGGGAGGGGGGAAGAGGAGGCAGGAGGCAGGAGGCAGCAGTGGGGCATACAAGGTGGATGTGCTGCCTTTGGGAGCCCCCAGCCCATGTCTGACCCTTCCCACTCTTTTCCTGTCCCAGGGATGGCCATGACAGAGGGAAGGAATTCTTTTCAGGTGGTGAGGCCCCGGCACTGGCAGGCAGGTGGAGCTGGTTTGGGGAGCCATCAGTGGGACTTCACCCTGATGCCACCTAAGAGCATGAGCACTCTGGGCCAGCAATGCGGACTGGGCAGATGCTAGGACTACCCTCTCTTACTACATGCTGATGATGTCCCCAGACACAAGGCCTATTTCCAGAGCCAAAAAAGAGACCAAGAGAGTGGGGGAGAAAATAATCCCCATTTATGCTTTTGAAGTCTTGAAGAAGTCAGAACTGAGCAAAAGGAACAGCTGCCAACCACTGGCAGGTAACCACATCGCTGCCTCAGGAAAGCAACTCCAAAGTCCTGCACACATTGGGGGTTCAGAAGATCCAACTCTGCTACTGGGCAGTCCCAGAGAAGATATCAAAGTCCAAGCCTGTGTAGTCCCTCTGTATTTTTCCTTCTTTGGGTCAGAGGTGGTCCTCTTGGGCCCTGAGGCCAACAGCTCCAGGGGACCCAGTTACAGGGTGCAGGGGTGAGCTGTACTCCAAGGCTCCCTCAGACCTGTCTCAATTACTGCTCTCCTGATAGCACCTAACTTGTTACAAAGAAAGTGAAACTGAGATTTCAGTTATACTAACTGCCTGTGTCTGTATCTTTCTCAGCATGTCCAAGTGTCTGGTCTGATGTGTGAAATGGAAGCTCTTAGGTGATTTGTGGAAGAGTCGCTCAACTCCACAGACACATGGCAGACTTGAGCTGCTGCTAACATTTTCTTCTGAGTCTCCATAGTAGGTCAAACCAAGGGTGTACCCGTCCCTGCAGGAGGTTCTAGCTTTGCGTTCTGGGGGAGGTCAGAGCCTTCCATCCTGATGACCTGTGCATTGGCAGCTTGGCCTTGGCCTGGGAGGCACAAATAACAGTGCTGGATACAGGGGTTGGGGGAGCTATGTCGTCATGGACAGAGTCCTGGCTGGTGTCTCATGTGTATCAGTACCCAGGGCTGCACATACCACCATGGCTGGCACAGGTCAAGCGGCAGCTGATACTGAGGGCCAGAGAATGTTGCCCAGGTTGGGAGCAAGTGTGCATGGGCTCCTGGTGCCCCTGGAGCTGCTTCTGACAGGCTGCTGTAGCTGAACTTCCAGCTGGTCTCCTGGGAAGATGACCTCTCAGGGCCCAGGCCAAGTCTCCCTGTTAACCTGCCAGAGACAACTACCCAGTCCTTTCATACCATATTTGTCACAGGGCTGCTGTCAGTCAGGTGGAGGTGAGGCTGCTGGGAATGACTGGGCTGGAAAGTGGATGTCCAAGGGCCCTGTCATTGCTCTGGAAGCATCTGGAACCAGGTGACAGGCAGGCAGCAGACTGATCAGGCAGGGATTTGGAGGACATGGAAGAGGCTGTTAAGCAGACTGTTTTCCCTGTCAGCCCTACCCCTGTGTTGGGCCTGAGAGGTAGGGTTGATTCTGACAAGAGACATAGCTGCTTAGTATAGTGTTGCTGGTTCTCACAAGAAACCTGGGGATATAGACCATGGAAAGATGTCTCCTTATGCTGTGGGCCAAGCCTGAAGATGGCCTTTCACCTACTCCCTACTCCCTTTCTCTCTATAGACTAGACAGATGATAGATTATAGATTGTAGATCCTAGATGGCACATCCCCAGAAAACAGTTACATTATGTATCCTTGTTCCTTTTCTGCACGTGCCCCATCACAAGATAATCACGTTCAGCCCAGGACATGTGGGCCACATGGTACTAGTTACCCTACCTTCCTACACTATAAATAAAGAGCACACTGGACGCCAGGCAGCCAATAGCTCATCAGGCTATGGTCCTACCTGGTCCCAGCTATAAAGCATAATTTTGGCTTCTTTCTTATTATTTCCCAATTTTCATCATCTCCTGCTGCTCTCCCTGGATTTGTACCCTATGCTGTGCAGGTCATGGCACCCTCAGACTTGGGGTCAGGGCACCTCCAGGATAGCCTTTCACCAGGTGCCACTCTAGGACCCCAGGAACAGAAAGGTTATGGCCAGGTTGTACCTAGATCCTGATGTCCTGAGAGAAAAGAGGTCTTTTTTTAGGGTGACAGTGGCAGCATGTTCCTCTCCACTTCATCCTCCCCAAATCACCTCAAAGCTGCCTTCAGGGTGATGCTGTGTGCAACCCTGGTTGGGTCTGGGGTCTTTTAGGGTCCCTCTGCACTCAGATAGGATGGGACAGGGTCAGGTTGTCCTCCTGCCCTCTGAGGGTAGAACTACGCACACTGCCCAGAGTTGGAGACCCAGGGAAGGCTGGGCCTGTGGGGTGCTATGGGTATCCTAGGAAGGGCTGGAGCTCCAGGTGGGATCCACCCTTCTTCACAAAGCCTAGCTTAGAAACCTCCTCATTGCAAAAAATCCACATAAAATCAATAAAAAAACCTCCTCAGCTAATCTCCTATTGTCCACTCAAGACTGTTGGGCTCTAGCCAGGTGGCTGGTGTTCAGGTTAGCCTGGAGTGTGAGGTGCTGGCTTGAAAACAGCCCATGGGCCATAACAGCCTTTGGAGGTGAAGCTGGGGAAGAGGTAAGACTCGCCGATGCTTGGAAGCCACTGGCAACCTGATTTAGGGATTGCTTTTGGTTAGTTGGCCTCAGTGGGACAGGAAGAAGCTGTTGGCAGCATGGTATGACATGCCCATGCAAGTAGGGCCCCTTGCACACCACCATGCAGGACCAGAAACCATCTACCCCAGGCCTAGCACCCCTCCTAAGCATCTGTCTGAACATCAGGGACATGACTCCAATAGCTGCTCGTAGGCCCTGGCCCCACAGCTCCGAATGAGGACACAGTTCAGCAGGACTCATATTTCTCAGGAAGCTACAGCTCACAGCACAGGCACAGCACCCACAGCTCCAAGTTCCTGAGGATGATGCCACACAGTTCTTGAAGGTTCTGGAAAGTCTACCCTCTGCATCTCTAAGAAGAAGTTGTCAATGGCATATCTCAAGGACCTAATATCCTTCCTCTCTCTGGAGATCACCTCCATCATGGGATGATGCAGTCGACTGCAGAGACAGAGTTGGGGTGACATTGGAAGCCCTATAGTCCCAGGCTTTACTCTGTGCCCAAGACACAAAATAAAACAAAAATTATTAAAGCAAAAATATTATTATTAGGGTCAGGGATTTGGCTCAGTGGTTCCACCGCCTGCCTCCCAAGCACAAGGACCCGAGTTCGATCACTGGTACCCCCCCAAAAAAATTTATTATTAAAGCAAGAATAAGCTGGGCATGGTGGTGCATGCCTGTCACATAACTCTGGGAAACTGAGGCAGAAGAATCACAAACTCAAGCCCAGCCTGAACAGCTTAATGACTAAATGAAATCCTCTCTCAAAATAAAAAATAAAAAAGGGCCAGGGATGTAGCTCAGTAAAGGCTCTGAGTTCAATACCCAGTATTGCACTTACAAAAAACGAAACAAAACAGAATTCAGAGGAATAAACACATGTATGCGCAGTCTGGCATATTTGCGTTGCATAATAAAGAGAAATCTTCCCAATTTTTCTGTCTCCAGCAATAACTTTCAAGTGAGTCCCATACTATGCCTTATCCATTGCTTGGAGTTACTCCTTTGATGTACAATAGCATAGTGAGAAACATTCTATGTCATTGATCATGGCCTTTGGAAACCTAAAGGGGCTGCTTCAGGCTCCCTGGCCCAAGTGGGCGACTCTAGTGTGCCACTACACCTGCACACTTCCTGCAGCAAAGCCCCTACAGGGAAGGCTGTGGTGGAAATGTATGTGAGGAAGTGGATTTTGATCCTATCTACTGCCAATCCAGCCATTATTTCTGAGGAATTAGCTTAGTTATAACTTCAACCCAAGGGGCTGAGCTGGAATTGGCAGCTGTAGGGGATCTGAGGCTGAGAGAACAGCTACTCATGGCCCAGGACAGCCAGAGGTGGACTGCACAGGGAGCAGCCCTGAAAAGACAGCTGTCCCTGGAGACTGATGTCTCCCTAGACAGGGCTTTCCTGTCTCAACATGGGTCATGGGTTAT